GATGGCTTACCGAACACAAAGGTTCATCACCGAATTAACCAAAGCCCTCCACCGGACCCTGTCCCGGGCCAACAAAATCCAGTCTCCTTCAACTCCTATCTCCCATAGATCCCGCCTGAGATTATCCTCTCATCTACGTCTAGGTCTCCCCAGCGGTCTCTTCCCCTCAGGTTTCCCAACCAATACCCTCAAAACTGGGAACTGTCCATCGATGGCGAAACGTCATCCATTTAATTACCCCGAGTCATTTTTTCCCCTGGAGATCTTGGTAGACGCAGTATCTTTTCTGAACAGAAACGGAATTGGTAAGGACAAGGTACCTGATTATTTTTTTTTTTACTATAGGTGCTACGTTCATCTACACTTTCATTAAAACCACAACATTCATTACCTCGTTGGCACGAACCCTAAATTGAGCCAACTGAATCCAGTATATATTCAGCAGGTAGAAAGGAAATATTAAAAAATACTTTGGTTTCTGGGTAAAATCCGCTACCCACTTTCCACCCCGCCTCCGAAAAAAAAATAAGTGCGCGTTCCGCTGCTTATGTTCATCAACTTCGCCCTGAAGGCATTTTTTTGTAGCTGTTCTTCCTGAGGCCCACGACGTATGAGGACATGGCCAACAGATTGTTGCCTTTTCAGAATTAGACGGGGGAGTCCACCCCACGCAGCCAGCACCGAAGGGCGGCTTCTTTAACAGAATTAGCTGGGTCATCGCCCTACCCTTAAGGCAGCCACTTGCTGAACCAGTTCACTGAAGAAGTCGGGTCTTTCTGCAATAAATAACCTCCACCACAATTCCTCTTATCCCGCACAGCGGATTTCCGAATGTTCGTAACATCAAATGCACCGCCTGCCTTTCGTATCGCCAGTTATGTGAACTCAGTACACAACTTGTTTTTTTGTTTTATATGAATGTTGGAGCCTCTGTGCAGAAAACGTCGGTTTGGGGGGTGAAGAACGCACTGTCTGGTTTTGAAGCCAGGAACAGAGGCTCTACGCCCGACATTTCCATTAAATTTGGTAATAGAGGGAACCCGGACGGTGAGAATAGAAATATTTTTGACAGACTTTTGGGGAAATAACAGAATTTATGTCCAATTTCTAGTTCGGCCGTGGTTCGAATGCAAAATTATTTATAAGTTCTGGAGATTCGCTCCAGGGGTTGTTACTGCTGTGGTTAGTTTAATAATTTCAGACGTAATTGTAATTAATATCATGACAGCTCAATGAAAATTACTTTCCAGTAATAATATTCAAGACGTAAGACCTTGGCTCGGCTCGTCGGGCAGAAATTCTACTCGCCTGACATTTTGTCACCAAGAAAACTCGTCTTTGGGGGAAACAACTAATTTAGATTTGTAAGACTTGAGGTTCTCACAGCGGTGAGTATGAAGATTTCTGTCTTCTGGGTTGTTGCGCTGTGTAGTCTGGTCGATGTTAACCAACGTTTCAGAGGTCATACTGCCTCCGTCATCAGGGCGATGAATATGCCAATAGGGTGTGAGGAGTTGGATTTATAGGCAGGGAAGTGAAAGGTGTAGCCTGCCCCGAGCCAATGGGAGCAGGGATGGGAGTGGACCAATGGTTACACAACGCAACACCCGACGTCCTTGATATTGTCCTCATCAAGGACTTCGTCCTACCGGTGCACCTGACTGTATGCCCCGCACTCAGCTCAGAT